ATATATTCACCATGTCAGTGCAACTGTGCTGCAAATTCCTTCTTGTTTCCGAGCTGATATTATTAACTGTTCAAGTTTTTATCCCATTTGTATCTTACATTAATTATTGCATGGAATTATCAGGTGGACAAAGTATTCTGTAGAAGGTACAGGGGAGTCGAGGATAAATTTGAGGAAACTAAAACCACAGGAAGTGAGACTAAAAAAGAAAAAAAATGGATCACAATAGTTAGCACCACCAAGTCTTTCTATAACTCAATGTGACATGTGGAGCAATCAGGCACGAAGCCTGTGAGGTGGTGGGGGTGTGATTTGTGAGTGTGATTTACATTTTTTGCTTTCAAGACAGATACGTCCAAGCATCAATTTGGACACCACCTCCATTTGTACGGATCAACGAAGGGGCAAACACAGGCACCATCAATCAAAATCCTTGGTGAAAATGATGGCGTGGTCCAAGTCATTAGCAGGATATAAAAGGGGTGAATGATATTTGATCATTTCAAGCTCTCAAAAGAACAACACTACTAATAGAATCCACCACTCCTGCAGTCTAAGTAATTAACGATATTGAGTATGTATATCACAATTAGACAGGCAAAAACAAGGTTGTCATTTGTGGAGATCAATGAAAAAGCCGTATCTTTTGACTCTGACCCTTGATATCACACTACTTTCCACAAATTTGATTCCATTGCTGTCTTCTTTCTTTCTTTCCTACTTTCTCTTTTCCGATCAATTAGATACCACATTAAGGTTGACCAGTTTCGTTCAATCACTTTTGTGGAGTGATATTCAAGATGGAGCCCTAAGTAGAGAAAAATACAAAACATCCCCACTAAATGAGGCACTTCCCAAAAGATAGGTATTTGTGTGTCCACTGGTTCTCAGAGAGTTGTTTTCATGTACAGACTGAATTGAAAGGCACAGCATCTTTTGAAAGCAAATTCATAATGAAATGACTTTGGCTGATACATACATATAACCATAAATCAAACATATTCATCGTATGTAGTTTAGTGCTGAATATGATCTAATGGAGGACTGCCCAAGAGATTATGTTTGCATTAGATTATATAATATATAGTTTGACCGGATTCAAGTTTTATTGGTCTGGTCTACATGTATCGAAATCTATGTAAAAATTATCATTTGTGACAGATAGAGGGATTGATTAGAGTGTGTTAACGTACCGGTCCAGTATTTCCAAGTTCAACAATTGTTCACTGGGCCCTTCCTCTGACTTTGTCCTAGCAACCCCACCAAAAAATGGTGCTAATAGGATATACCCTCTTACCCGAACCGGAGCCAACCATGTCGAACCAACACCGATCTGAACCGCTAAGTGGTGTGCAATATTGCCACCAGATGAGTCGCCCAAAACAAAAACCTGGTCATAGTCAACTTTACCACCATTGACCCATGCATCACCTTTGTCGCTCAAACCCTGAGCTTGTAGCCACTGCAAGGCACTAAGTCCATCCTCCATGGCCGCCGGTAGCCTATGTTCTGGGGCCAAACGATAATCAGGGGCGACAACGAGTGCATTGAGACCAGAAGCTAGTTTAAGGCAGCAGTTGTGACAGTTAGGCCACTCACGCGTGCCTACACAAAATCCACCTCCATGAAGGTAAAGTATGATGGAAAGCTTCTTTGTAGGGGATGATAGTGATATTGAAGTGGGTTTGTAGAGACGGAGGTGGAGGTTGTACGTTTTGTCAAAGAGGCAGTCTTTGAAGAGGACGGACTCGTCGTTGATGATTGGCATGGGGAACCCTATATCTTTGGACCTATAAATGGTTCCGTCACTAAAGAGTTGGACAACACCACCGCAATCTTCTACTACATGAGGGAGAGAACCCATTTTTGCTACAAGTATTTGGTTTCCTTTCTCTGTAGGGAGATGATGGTTGGCAATGGAGGTAATGGCTAAATATGGGAGGTATATATAGGCAAGAGGACGGGGAAAAGGCAGGAGGAAGGGTGTGTGAATTGGAGTGGAGAAGGCAGGGATAGTTTTTTTTTCCTTTTCTTTTCTTTTTAATGTGAAGGGTGATTGTGTCATTTTAGGAGGGATATTATGGAAGTTGGTGGATGATTGCATATGCATTCCTAGCCATTGGTTTATCTTTTATCTTTTTATCTTTTTTAATATGAACCATAGAGAAGGAGGAAGGGAAAATGCTTCTTCTGATAAGGTAATGTTTGATGATATGGTAAATAATATTTTTTTAAAATATTTAATTATTTAAAAATATATTAAAATAATATATTTTATATATTTTAAAATTTATTTTTAATATCAGCACATTATAATTATATAAAAATATCAAAAAAAATCATTTAAATTAAAAACAAATTAAAAAGCATGACTGAGCCGTATAAACAAATAATACATAATAGTTAAAATTTGAAATTTTAAAAAATAAAATAAAATTGAGATTTGTATTACTGCAAAAGATTTATATGTAGTTTAAATATAAAGGGCAATTTTCTCCTTAGCCAACATTTATGAGAATATCCAATAAATTATATTTAAAAAATTATTGTCTTTGATTTTTTAAAGAATTTTTTAAAATGCCTAATGATAGCATTTCTTGTTTTGACAAAGCTTTTTAATATAGATAAAAGGAACACAAGAAAGATAAAAAATATAAAAACACAAAAGTTTTTGAAAAATGGATTGTATAAAGATCTCAATTCATAATTTGATTATTAAATATTTATTTTAAAATAATTTACATCACTAATAGATTTACAATTCCTTAAATAAAACCAAAAACTAATCTAAACAAACTAAAAAGCTTGAAAATAAACAAAAAGTAATAAAAATTCTAAAAAAACTAGAAAACAATAAATTATCAACCTCAATATTTGGTTTCCTAAACTAAAAAAAAAACCACAAAGAAAAATATTTTTCTAAACTAAATAGAAAATAATAATAACTAAAAAATATATTTTTTTTCTAAAAATTTTACTGCATCAATCTTCTTGAGTTGAAGAAAACTCGTCATTAAATTTATATTATTCTTATCTTAATTTTATAAATATTCACTCAGACTCCCTCACAACGAAACCAAACCACTAGATATATGAAAATCTACTTTATAATTTTTATATAAATTACAATGACATTAACTTTGACCTATCAATTTTAAATTTCTTCTCAAGTACATGTAAAATCATCCTTCACAATATGTTTTTATCAAAAATCACATTGGAGCCCATCCTTTATAAATAAATTAAAAAACTAACCTAACAAACTAAAAAACATGAAAATAAACTAAGAAAAGAGCACTATAAAAATTATTTTCTTAAATTAAATAAAAAATAATTATAACTAAGAAATATTTTTTCTCTAAAAAATACTTCAGCATTACTCCCCCAAAACTTACCTCATAACATTATACACACATTTATAACGCATCATACAATAAAAAATTTCATTCAATCTCTTTTACTTTTCAGCATAAATAATTTTAAAATGTTATTAATTACTAATTTATTTTGTGATTGCTTGTGTTTCATCAGGTATCATATATAGAAATTGCGATTAAAAATCAATATTTGTTTATTTTACATTTATATTTTATAAAAGAAGGATATGTGTGTATTAATGGGAATCGTCAAACTCGCCCCGAGCCTTACAGAGAAGATAAAAATTGAGTTTTTCTTCCATCGTATGCTTAAATGGATGAATATGAGATGGGGATAGAGGTTATATATATACTGTGCCTAAAACCCCCGTATCTCCATTCCTATCTAGTAAATTAAGTTTCTTTTCTAAAAATCCAGGAGGAAATTCCAGAAAAAAAAGAAAAAAAAATCAGTGACGGAGTTTAAGATTTCGATAGTAGCATATTAATCATGACTTATTTCGTTACCATGCACCTTTTCTCTTCTATCTTTCTTCTATTCTTTGTGTTTTTTTTTAATTTAATTTCCCCTGAAATCTATGGTGGAGCAAACTGTTGAGAAGATAGAACAGACAACAGATCACAATAATACGTTAAGAACATAGTAAGAAGAACTAATTAAGATAACGTATAAGAACAAAACGCATGCCGTCAAAGACAGCTCTTTTGCCTCTTTCCCAAATCCATAATTTGTCCATGCCATGTTTCTTGTCCCAAAATGTTTTCATTTACGTATACATGTTTGTCGAGGCAATAAGCATTTCTTCATTAGACTTACAATCTCCTGATGGATGAAGAAGTCGATCCTTGTGCAAGCAAATTAATCTTTTCTTTTGAGGAATATGCATGCAGACGTTTGGACGTTGAGGTTACTCTTTTCCGAGTAAACTGGAGTAGCGTGTTTTAAAGAGAGGGCAAGTGTCCACTAGGAATTGTTGAGTCGGCGGCGGCCATGAGAGTTTCAAATATAAAGCAGGCCGTCTGATTTTATGTTATGGACAGGATTTGACTTCTTCTAGATACCCTTTTTTTACTGTTTTCCCCGGCGGATCATTATCTTGTTGTTTCGGAACAAGGAACACGATGGGGTTGGCTGTGATTGTTTACAGGGTTGGAAAATGAGCTCAAATGCCCTGTGATGCATGGTTTGATAGCAGTGTTTAATTCTCCCTCTATAAATACTCTACAGCTCCTAAAACTCACCTGGTTTCTTGCCACTTAACTTCCATCTAGCTAGCATTGCTTGCTCTCTCTCCCAAACCCTTTCCCTACTTGCACTCACGTTTTTTTTATTAGTAGGATTATTGTTTATTCAAGCCAAAACACTGGATCTGCCTGACTAGTCGTTTTAACTTTTCCCACCTTACAATCCAAGAATTCCTCTTTTGGAAGTTTAAAAAAGAGCAATTAAATTTAAATCATTGCTGGCTGTTTTTGAACCACATAACCTGCGCTGGGATGGTGCTAGCTGGTGACTTGAATTTCTTACTTGATTATAGGACGTTCTTGTGTGTGTGTGTGTGTGTGTAAAAGAAATCTATGAATGATGGAATCAGACAGCCGACAGAATCGTAGAACAGTAGATAAACAAGACAACGAATAAAAACAATCTCTGTCAATGCCTGATTCCCCAAATTTGTAATGGACAAGTGTATGCCGTCGTTGTTATTGCCATGTTTCTTTTCCCAAAACGACAAATACATTTACATATTTGTTAAAGCAAGAAACAATTCTTCACCAAATTAACGGTCGCCCAGTGCATGAGAAGACTTCTAATTAGCAGACAAATGGTTCCCGAGTCTACCGATTTTGAGTAGAGTACTATAGGTATACTCCAAGGTGAACTATAAAAGAATGTTAGTCAGGAATCCTTAGAGTCCGCCGCCATGTGAGTTTCAGTTCTCAAGCATACCTCCTAACTGTATATTATGGATAGATTTTGACTGCGCGTGCCCCTTGGCTTGGACGTTGTATTAAGCTGCTGGTTGAAGAAGCTGACCAGAAAAACGAGGGATATTGTGGACCAGTGTGCAGTGTTGACCAGATAGGGTTTGAGAAGCCGTAGGTTCTAATCCTATCTCGACTCAATTGCAGCCAATTGGGGGTGAGAAGAGGAAGGATCCAAATCCAGGAATCATCTGTGGATCATCACAAACAATCTTGAATATCTTATCTTGACGAGGGAAATACAAAGAACTTTATGAAGCTTTACATTCGAATATTGAGTTGTAGTTTGTCCTACTCTTATATTGTCCTTTTACGACCATTGCTGCCATGTCTCCATATTCTATGGAGATTTATCAATCAGTTGGAACTTTGAAGTGCTGGCGGGCGACTTTCATTTTATCCTTTAGCACAAGCCTCAACGTCCTTATCTTCACTTGCATCATTTTCCACAATCATTCATCTTCGAATCCATATCTTAGCGTACGGTATTTGAAACTGTAGGTGATGTCAGATAATGCGTGCACACGAGACGCTTCCTGGTGATTTTGTACTAGTCCCGATTCATTTCTGCGATGACCATGTCTGTGAGTCTATCTGATTATATATTTTGTGAACCTAACTGTTGCCAGTGTATTTGATAGTGTGGTATCTTTTGTGGTTATGATTTCAAAACAATTATTTTATAAAAAGCATATATCTATGCCAGACAATCAACCTCACTAGCAGCTGCAGTGCCAAACGGGAACGAAATCATTTGCCTCTTATTGGGTTTCATTGCTAAGCAAACCCATAGAGCCTCCTTCCGTATCTGCAGCACACCAAGAACTTAAATTACTATGCATTAGGGAATCATTTGATGAAATAAATGATTTCAAAACAAAATATTTTTTTCTTGCTAGCACGAGGAATCAAGGGGATAGCAGCCCTTTTAAAGGCAAAACCTGCAAAACAAAATGAATCCAAGAACTACCCACAAATAGTATGGGAAACAACAGGAACACAACAAGTCCAAGTGACTCTACCCTCCAACTTTCTTTTTTAGCTTTAGGGTGTTCTGCAAAAACAAAATATGAACCCATGTGCTCAGAAACGATCTTCTGAACAATTAATGTTTGTTCACTTGCATATGCCTCAACAATAAGCAGGAGATGAGTGGAGTGGCGATGAGTGAAGTAAGAAGATAAGGCTTAAGGAATCTTTTTGACTGAAAAAAGTGACGCAATCATTTAGATAAATATTCAAACAACTATCTAACCTTGTTGATTTTGAAGTCCCCAGAAAAATGAATTGCATTTGCTGACGAGAATTGTGGAAATACACATTAAACAATCAATATTGCTTTTTAGTGATTACGATCAACAATTAACTGTGCTGCAGAGTAATGAAAGCAACTCAGAAGATACAAAATCATAGTTCTTAAAAGATCAGGAGTAAAACGTACTGCCAAATATTTGAAGCTCAAACACCAAACGTAGCCAGATGTTTAAATTCACCAGACAGCAACAGATAGATGAACCATGTTGGAATCGATATTTTCTGCCTGTCCCTTTTTTTTTTCCACCTTCAGTTTTAGCTTTGTAAATCATGACCTCATGATATCATGATGCTGCCTATGCCAGTCATTAGTTAGACAATGGTTGAAATATAAGCCGTAATCCATTAGATAAAAAGAGGGAGAGAGAGAGAACTGCACAAACAATTGATTGTAATAGATAATCCTTTGCTAACTGTGTTTTATCCAGTCAAAACTCAATATATCAGCAGCTGTCTGTTGTGTGTTTGTAGTTTTCTTGAGGAACACCATTGATCCATTGAAATTGAAAGAGTCAGTAGTATTAAACTCAAAAAGGATAAAGTAACATAGAGTTCATTTTTGCATTCCTAGCAGAACTGAATCATTCACATATTGGATATCCATAATTCGTAAGGATACCAAGGAAATTTCAAATAACTATTAGCAATTACCATATTCCAGAGAATGGGTTCAATGATTAAATCCCTTCCATTAAAATACTGGATTTTATCCAAGAATAAACATAAACAAGAAGCAAGTCACATGAAAAGACATACTTGCCAGTGCATATGAATTCAAAAATCAAAGTTGGGAGTTCAGTTAAATTATTCTCATTAGCAATATTGACAGCCCTCACTTGGACCTCATCCAATAGCTCCACACTTGACACCTGATGATAAAAAATGGATAATCCATAAAGCATTGAATGCATGGACATAAGTTGCATTAAGTTCTACCTGTATACCAGACAGCATAATGTCAATAGAAACATCAGCTGCATCCTTAATTGTAAGGAAATTGTACATTGTAACCTGAAACGTTATGAAATAAATTAACAAATGCATCTACATCTGTAATAAGCATATGTAGTGGAGAATTAATACAGAGAACAAGAATTTATCAATTTCCAAGAAGAAAATAACTGCAGCTTTAAAAGGTGGTTTAAAGTAAGATTATGATGCTCAATGAACAAAACTTCTCATATATTTCTGATTACTGTTTTTTCATAAGAGTGTGATAATTACTTCAGCATGACAAACTTCAAGCAAACAAAAATAACAAGAACTACCAGAACTTTCACCCTCGCTTGTCTGTTGCCATCATAATTCTATGTTTGTGTTCTTGATACAATTGTCCATCTCTAAAAAACAAACAAACGAACTAAAAAAAGGAAAGGAAAGTGAAAAAAAAATTAAAAAAGAGGGGGGGTTCTTCCAAACAAAGAAAGGATGAAGATACCACTGAATGCAGTGGAATTTTCTGAGGCCATAGAGTGACCTCTGTTGTTACACCAAGGATGCCTTCACTTCCAGTCACCAGTCAAGTCAAGTCATATGTAAAGTAATAAATCCAATAAGGTTAAGAGTTGACTTCTCTGAATATGCAATAAAATAAGAAACCCTCTAAAGCAATTGAAATAAGGATAGTGGAGGACACCCTCCACGCATGCATGATGGCCAACCATCTTGAAAGCTGGAGAAACATGAGTCCGGAATAGCAAAGCATGATTTAACAAACAAAATTTGTAGGCTGGCTCCATCAAATATTATCTGGCCTGTGATTTGCCACAGCACTCTCCTTAATTTGATTAGGATCATAATCTCAAAGGTTTACCTTTTCAGGTGATGGCCATATTGCAATTAATTATATATCCCCTCCCCTCTCCCCCGTCCAAGGAAAAAGAAAAGGAAAAATACAGAGCAACAGAGAAATAAGAACCCACGACTAAATATAGAAAAGGACAAGATAACACACCCTGCGGCACTCTTTCGAGCACGAGAAGCTGTCTTGACCACATCTCCACTGGGAAGAACCACCTGGAGCATAAATAGTATAAGAACTAGATTGTCACAAAAATGAACTTGGTAGATCAGGAGGTCAGGGAGCAAACCTAGAGACTAATGACATTATCTCGCATGTTTCCATACCTGCATGCTAAAAATCAAATCATTAAATCATGTAAGAAATAAGACCATTGATTCTTGAACAGGTTTCTAATTTTTTGAGGATAAAAAAATTTAGGAAAATAAGTACGAAAGACAAATGCTTCAAAATTCAAAGCAAACAATATAGATTCAATTTAATATAGGTAAACTTTTGCGAATTCTAGTCTAATCAATTGGGAGTGAAGTAAAATTGTCTATTGCAATACTATATGGATTCCCCACTGTAGCAAATGAGTTCAGGTGGTGCCACTTTCATGTGTCAGGCATCAAGGAATGGTGGTGCAAGTCATTCTAACTTCTAAGCATTAAGAATGTCTTGTTGCCAAAGCTTACACTTTTAGAATTCAAACATGAGAATTAACATAGAGAAAAGCACAACAACTCAAGTTATAAATCATGGTGGTATGAGAAATAATTGGAACATTTTGTTGACAGGTTAGCATGATTGATATTAAATAAGGCAAATCGAAAAGGTACATTCTCTCAATAGTCAACCCGAAATGGAGTAATACATATCATGGATAAACAGAAAAACTAGACTATTCTAACCCAATGCAAAGTAATGTTAAAGCTTTTGATGGCTCCAAGTGGCTACAGATGTTTTAATACTTCCACTGAAAGTAGTGCAAGGTTAAACCTTATCATTATACTGCAGAAGATCACTTGTCAAAAAAGCTGGATCTGTAGACGTTTGTATTGGGGTGTTTGTGGTGGTTATGAGCAATCCCAGTGACAAGTGCAACTGGGTGCCTACATCACTCTATAATCATGTATGCAATAGAATTGCTGAGAAAAAAAAAAAAAACTATAATCATCTGGTCACATTCAAAAGAAAATGGGTTAATAAAACTGATGAAATATAGAGGGAGAAAAGGGTATAGAAGAATGGGAGAAAATCAACCTTTATCTTGATAGTAGCCAACATAGTTCAATCAAAACTTGAGTCTAACTACTCGTTTTGACTTCTGAGCAGCTAATTTCATGAGTACTATAACCATCAAAATGAAATAAAAACAGCTGATAAGCAGTGCAAATTCCAAGTGTTGATAACTAGCAATTGGCCTCAAAACATGGGTTATCTAGGAAAATTGCTCAAAGACTTGTAGCTAAAATAAGGTGCAAAAATCACTTTGAATAAGATTTTCAGTAAGAGAAACAAAATTAGTTTACCCTTTAGATATGTTATCCTACAAAACATCATGAACAGGCTATTAATTAAACAACTCCAAAAAAGAATAAAGAATGAAACTACAACTCCTACATTGCATTTCTAAAACAAACGCAGTGCTTCCTTTTCCGCCCATTCCACTACTCCTCCAGAATAACACAATTACTCTTAATATCTAAAAAGGAAAAACTGACGGAGGAAAATGGAGAGAAGGAGGGGATTGAAGGAGAGAGATCGGAAGTGGAGAGTTGGAGCAGGAAAAACGGAACGGTTTTTTTTTTAAAATAGAGAGTTGATTGATTGAGTTGGGAGATGGTGGAAGATTGCGATGTGGAGATGGGTTATGGTATTTGAACAGGAGGAGGAGGAGGAGCGTAGGCTACAAAGCCAGTACAGTGAAGGCCTGCCATTTGGTTCCAGTGAGAAGAAAGAGAGCACACCGGAAACAGAGGAGTTGAATCATGTAAGACAGAACCAGATAGGAGGAGTGCTGTAGCCTGATAAAAGCAAACGAAAACCAGCAAATGAACTGCTGTCGGAAAACAAAATGAAAATGAGATTGTTTATATCATTTCAGGTGTAACAAGATAGCTAAATAGATTGTCTGTAACATTTTTTTTCCCTAATGAAAAAGATTTTTTTTTTTCTGTAACCCAAAAAAATAATATTAAAACGTTGACAATGTATTTTAAAATAAATAAAAATTATATTACCCAAGTTATAAAATTTACTATCAAAAAATAACAATTAAAAAAATATATTAATTCATTTCAAGTTAGCATATCAAATTTGTGATCCAGATTGTGAAGCCAAATTATTATTATAAAAAACATATAAAAAAATTTAAAACCCAAAATTTAATAAACTCAAAAAAAAAAAATTCAAAAAAATTAAAATATATTAATTCATTTCAAGTTAGCATGTCAAATTTGTGATCCAAATTGTGAAACCAAATTATTATTATAGAAAACATATAAAAAAATTTAAAACCTAAAATTTAATAAACTCAAAATCAAAAGTTAAAATCAAAAAAGAAAATAAATTTCAAAAAAATAAAATAAAAATTGATGTCAACTCGAGTTAACATATGTATCTATGATCCGAATCATGAAACAAAAATAGTTATATAAAAAAATAAAAAAAAATAAAAAAATTAATATTAAAAAATTATGCAAAAACTGTATGTCATTCCAAATTATCTTTGACAAATGTTTAGTCAGAATTGTGAAGTCGGGTTGTTGTCATAAAAATAATAATAAAAAAATATTTAATCTTCAATAAATTTATTGTTAAATTATAAAATTAATAAATAAAATTGATAAAAAAATAAACATAAAAAATATTGATATTAACTAAGGTTAAAATTTTATATACTTGAACTGGATTATAAAACTAGAAACATTTCATCTAAAAAATTAATAAAATTCAATTCTAAATAAATTAAATATTAAATAATAATTTTTATTTTTTGTGATGACTAAGAGGCACATATGGGCTTTAACATGTGTAATAGCTTTTTTATTATTATTTAATTTATTAAAAATCTAAATATCCCTAACCCATATAATATTAATGGAAAAATCATACCAAAAAGCTTATTCATCTAAATTATAAATTTTTGACTTTTAAAATATCTTAATAATTATATTAAAATAAAAAACTGAAAATCATCATGTCTAAATAATTAAACAAGTTTATTTTTAAAGGTATTTTAAATATTACACTGGATAAATATTTTTGCTTCTGAAAGCAAGTTATATGTTTTCAGTTATGAAGGCTAAAATAATAATTTTACAAGTAAAAACCATAGTAAGTGGTGGTGTGTGCATAGCAAATTGCCGAACTCTTTTAACTTTTCTGTTTATTTGTTTTCAAGTAATACCATCAAAATGTTAAATACCTTTTTATAATTATAATTATGAAGCTAGAAAACTTATTAAAGCAAAATAACAGTCATTTGTAATTTTTATAATCTTAAGAGATTGATTTGGTGATTAATAAAAATGTTTTTTCTTTTTAGTTTTCTGAATTCAAATGTTAAGGCCATAATTTTATTTTTTTTAATGTATAAGGTTGAAGTGACTTATCTAATAAAAAAAGAATATTATCACTTGTAATATGATTTAAATAATATCAAAATCCAATAAATTTTAAATTATTATTTTTGCTTAAAATCATTCTTTTTATGTTTTTCAATTGTTTTGATGTTCTAATGTTAAAAATAAAAATATTATTTTAATATATTTTTAAATAAAAAATATTTTATAAAGTAATAGCTATTTCACCCTCAAACAACCATAAGTCTTCTCTAAATCTATAGTCTTGTTTATTTTTGTGTTTTAAAATTATTTTAAAAAAATAAATTTTTATTTAAAAAATAATATTTTTTGATATTTTTATATTATTTAAATATGTTAATATCAAAAATAATTTTTTTAAAAATAAATATATTATTTTAATATATTTCTAAATAAAAACTTTAAAAATTAACTACTGCCGCAAATACTTTCATTCAGTAACTACTAACCCACTTTCAAACAAGTAATTTCATTCAGAAACCAAGTATAGAAAGATGGACACTTTGTGCAACGGTGCCCGTCAGACTCCATCGTCTAAGCTTATAGTTGTAGACACAGCAGTCAAATGGAAGGAGAGACGTTTTCATTTAAAACACAGTAATCACATTGAAGGAGGCGGCATTTTTTTTGTCTATGCTACGAAACTTCGGGCTCTTTATCTTCATGCAATCATGTATCTGCCACGAGCAGATTTCTTTCACATCACCTGTCTAAACTCCAAAGGTGAACGGCTTGAATCTGAGCTAGGCTTCGCTCACGTATGACAAGTACTGCAAGATGCTGCAGAACCAGGTTGTTTTGAAGCATGCGAATAGAAGAATGCACAGATAGAAGGTCTCTTATCAGGGGAAAAAGAGAGTGATTTTAGCCCAGTTTTGCCTGATGCGTTGAGCGGTGGCATGGCTTCCGTGTTGTGCTAGGCTGTGAATTTGCAATCTATTCAACTCAGAATAGAAGTGTAATCAAGAAAAGGAATGCAAAAACATTTAAACGATTGAACGAAAAGTTGTTCGAACTGAAACGTGGAAGGAGTTGAGGAGTGGTACATCAAGATTCACAGAATAAATCAAAGTACTACATAGATATTACTTGGTGCTGACCAAAACCCTCTTCTACCAAAACCACTGGATTCGTTTGCCGATTTTCCTTCGTTTCTTCAAGAACAACCAAACAGGGAAGAAAATGGCTTTGTAATTTGGAACAACACAGGTAATAATGATCTTGAATTGATCGAACTCAAAACCACCAAGAAATCCACAGCTTGCACTTGGTAATGCTTGAATTATGATTTTCATCTCAAGCAACTCTGGGACCAACAATGCGAGCTATAATTTGAAACCACTTGAAGTCTGCTTCAAAATTCTCCCTCCATTCAAGCATTGGCTTTAAAAAATTAAGATCCAATCAGTACCCAATGGCATATTTGGTCCGTGAATCCCAATACTCCCTGGTTTGCTTTATGTCCTCGGCATGTTCAGCAGCCATCCTCTCCTTCCAGTACTCATTGCACCTGAAAGATTTCAATAATCAGAAATTGTCAATTTTACACAAGAGAACGGAATTTTAATTTCTTCACCTTCTTTTCAGTAGCAGATCAAGTTCCAACATGTGCACTGCATTAGTGTACACTCCCGCCTGCACATGATGGTGAACAAACTTGAGATCAATTAAATGCCAGAATATCCATTTCTTTAGAAATATATCCTTCAAACAACGTAGGCAGCAAACAGGCATGCTACCCTTGTTAAGCAGTGTTCACTTCAATAAATTAAAATACCAGATCTCTTCAAGTTGATTAGTTAAATCTCATGAAACAGAAACATAAATGTTAGCAAAGAAAGATATTTTGTCCGACTCAAACAGCTCCCTGAAAAGTATGGCCTTCCGTTATTGCACTAGCTAGAATAATCCACTTTACCATTGAAAGCTAAATTATCAAAATACCATCATTTTTTCTCACCAAGATAAAAAAAAAGGTATTCATGTATTCTGAATTGCTCACATTGCTGAAGTAGTGGATAAGGTCGTGTCTTTCAAAACCGGAATTAATTCAGCTATTTATGTTTTGGGAATAAATGAGTCAGAGCTTTGAAACTAGGATCTTAAGAAAGGTAAAAGTAAATGAAATTATTGGTTTCAAGAGGTCCAGGAAATAGAAGTCTTTGATTACCAGAAATCTATACAAGGCTATGTTAGGAGTCTTGTGGTGTGGATGTCATATCATGTCATGTTATATTTTGAATGAATTCTCTTTAATGGTTGAGATTGGCTCCCTAGTGTCCATTTGTAGTCTCCTTTCCTTTGTAGCAGATTTAAACATTTATATTTTTTTTCGTCCTCCCTTCCTCTCCTAAACTCATCAATTGTTTACCACCAGTTAAACTTTTGGAATTCATGTGGATAAATAATTGATCCAGAACAGGTTGAATGCCATATTAACAATCGAGACAACTAGTTGACATAAATCCTGTGCAAGTCAGGCAGAGTATTGGATGGTATTTCCTTTCCGGAGTAAATGAAATTCATTTCTCTAGGAGCACATATATACTCATGCAAATCACTTTCTAATTCAAACATATAATATGCATTGAAACGTGCAAGCACGCACACAAGCAATTATAAAACAGATACAGAGAAGGTGGTCTAGTGCAGAAAATTATAAACCTTAAATTGCTTTAAAGACATACAAACCTCTCTACAGATTGGGCACTTTGCATTTGAACTTGCAGTTTTAAGGCCTTCAAACATCAGCACAAAAGCAGCTGAGCAAGCACACAACTTGCAGAAAAGATGACCACAACTCAAAGCATATGGATTAAAAACTGTCTCCTGAGAAATGATGATGATGAGCAACAAAAAAAAAAAAATGTTAATCTTCTTTTTTTTGTTCCTTTGGAATGTACCAGAAATGATGTCTTACCAAGCAAATGGCACATGTCAGACTGTATTTTAATTTCGTAGAGTTTGGAAGTGTCAGTGTCATAACAGGTTCTGTACCATTGAGATCACAGGAAAACTGACTGCAAAACTCACTAAACTCTCCTCCATCTATTCCATCGAAATTCAAATAAAAGGCTCCCAACTCTATTAGCCAAGGCGATTGCAAAAGCTCTATATGTTCAGCCTGCATCTTGGATTTGAAATTGTTCCCATTAACAGAGCAATGTACCTAAAATTGAAGTTCAGAAAATCTATATAAGTTTTGTCTTTGATGTAAGATAACATAAACCTAATAAAAAGATCAAAAGATAAAAATGGACTGAATTGGTGCAGACTTTATCGTATTTCTTTAGAATTTTACGAATAGCAATTGCATTCATGGTAACGTATTCAATCAGCATACGCCCTTCTTCAGCCATGGTCTGCTTATCATTTTTGAAACATTGACGTAGACACAGTTTGTATCTTTGTATTCCCCTGGCAACATGAAGATGGAGGAGATGTCTAACTCTAGAACTAAAGCATCCAGCTATATGTGAA